TACCTCCTCCTCCTCTTCCTCCTCCTCCTCCTCCTCCTCCCTCTCTCCTTCTCGTTGGTTTCCTCCTCGTTTTCCCCTCATTCGATCGCACTCTTCCTCCTCAAGCACTTCAACAATCTCCTATCATTGTTGTCTCCTTTCGCACAAAGATGCGCTCTTTTCTTCTCACGGTACCGTACACGTCTCTCCCTCCCTTTCCCCTCCCCCATCTCACCAACATGCGAAGGGTTTCGACCGTGACCAGTGAGTCGATTTCGGTCCTCCCACATCCAGTTCGGCTCCTCCTCTCTCAGAAGCAAATATTCCCCTGCACTCAATCTCATCATCTTAGCTTTCCCTCTCTCCCGTTTCCTCCTCCTCCTCTCCTCCTCTCTTCCTCTCCTCCTCTCCTCCTCTCCTCCTCTCCTCCTCTCCTCCTCTCCTCCTCTCCTCCTCTCCTCCTCTCCTCCTCTCCTCCATCACTTCCATGTTCACCACCACATCCCTCTCTCTTCCTCTGACTCCTCTTCCTCTTCTTCCTCTTCCTCCTCCTCCACTTGTCCTCTTTCTCTCCTACCCGAGTGCTCGTTCACAAACAGGTGCGGGCAGGCAGAAGCATAGTCGTTGTAGTAGCATGCCAGCCCGTGTGAGGCTCCATTACAGCCTTCATGAGACCCGTACGTCCAGCTACCTCTGATGAAGTCGTCAAAAAGTCATTGAATGCGCTCCTCTACTTTCTCTGCCATCTTCTCGCCCTTCCTCTGTCAATGTCTTCCCGTCTCCCTTTGATACCCCTCACTCTGCGTTTTCTCTTTCACTCACTCATCTACTTGGCTATTTGCTTCCCTCTCACGGGTATTTTATGCAGCCTCTCCTCGCCACGAGAAGCTTGACACTCCTTGCTACATTCTCTCCCTTTCCCATCTAATCGCCTCTAACCTTATATTTCCATTCCCATTCCTATTTTCAAATTCCTCGTTCATCTCCCATCTCCTCCTCCCTCCTGCTCCTCCTCCTGCTCCTCCTCCTGCTCCTCCTCCTGCTCCCTCTGACTCACACAACTCCCATCGCCCTGGAGTTCGCAAGCGCGTGTGTGAGCGCGACGGTAAGGATGTGCATGTTTCCTCCCAGACCTGACGGAGGAGATCAGCGAGGGAAGAGGTAGGAGAAAACAGAGGCAGGAATCCAGACAGAGGAGCAGAGAGTGGGTAGTCGAGAGCAAGGGGAGAGACAAGTTACACCAGGGAATGGGAAGCAGGAACTGAAACCAAAGGAGAGTGAAGAGATGAACACGGAGATTTTAAAGGTTGTAAAGGAGGGATTATGAAAAGAGGCTGGGGAGAAAAGGAGGAAAAGGAGGAGGAGAAAAAGTAGAAACAGGAGGAGGAAAAGCAGGAGGACGAAAGAGCATAGGCAGAGAAGGAGCCAGAGGTTCGAACCATGATGAGGAGCAGCAAACCACATGACTCTGCTCTCGTCAGAGCAATGGCCTGAAACAGCAGGTGAGAGGCGGGAGATCAGTGTTGAGACGAGACCAAGTGAGTGTAAACTTTGAAGCTCCTTCAGCAGCATCGCAGACAAGTTTTCCCATGAAGCTGACTTGTGGCACAAGGAGGGCGATTCGAGGGGATGGATGTCAGGCAGATACGTTGGATTGTTCAAGATGTCATGATCGCAAGTGTCCCCTGAAAGCAAGATGTCACCATCGGCAGCATCATCAGCATCAGCATCAGCATCATCATCAGGATTATCATCAATCACCATCGCCATCATCATCACCACCACCACCACCAACCTTGAAAACAGCAGTATCGTCATGTTTCTCATCTCAACGGTCATCATCTCTCCTACCATCGTCTCCATTATCATCATATCCATCAGTCTCGACTCCATCATCATCATCATATCATCGTCATCGTCGTCGTCGTCGTCGTCATCGTCATCGTCATCATCATCGTCGCCATCATCATTTATCTCGTCCTTCCCATGAAAAACGATGACAAAAGGCTTACCCGCCCAGTTTGCATCACAAATACAAGCTCCATTGCGACATTCCCCGTGGTTGTTACAATCTTTCCTCTGATCGCAGAATCCGACGTCATGGCAAGATCTTAAACATCACGTTACATCAATTCACTGCTGATCTGTCTTACCCTGGCTTCTCCCATATCATAGACGACTTTGTTGATGGCAGCGATATATTACTCTGAACAAAGAACGTTGCTCCTGCCTTGGCCAGCAGTTTCCCTTTTGGCGATCGACACTGAACCTTCCACGTACACAGCGTCAAGGGATGCATCAGAGTAGCAGGAAGAGGAGGAGGAAGGGGAGGAAGAAGAGGAATTGAAAGAGGAGCAGAAGGAGCAGAAGGAGCAGAAGGAGGGGAAGGAGGAGAAGGAGAAGGAGAAGGAGCAAAAGCAGGAGGAGCAGGAGAAGCTGCCGCAACAGCAGGTGGAGAGGCAGTGGCAAGCAGCAATCAGAGCAAGGAAACATAGACAAGGCAATGCTATCATGTTTTCTGCATCTTACCTCTACCGACACTCCCCCGTCTGCGATGGGCGGAAGCACGATGTGAAGACGCCTGTTTCCCTAGAGGAGGAGGAGATCGTCAGCACTAAAAACCTCACTCTGCCCTCTTGTCAAACTTCAGCAGGCGAGTTCCTCCCCTACTCAATGCTATGATCGCACAAGGAGGGATACCTCCTTCCACCCCCCTCTTTCATCGCCGCTCTCCCTTCCCTCACCTCCGTGTCCTGCGCATGCGGGGTAAAGTTCGCTTCAGGGTACCCATTGAGGAGGAGGTGGATGTAGCCCTCCCTAGGCGTGTCAAACCTGCGATCTGTTAGCCCGTCATGAGCCGCTCAGCATGGCAGCACCTCGCCGTCACCAGGGCAGCGACGATGTTGCTGCCATTCTTGAAGACTCTTCCTTCGTCCGGCCATAGTAGAACAACCTCTGGCGTCGCCAGGGGCTCCTCCGCTTCACACTCGCCCGAGCATGTCGGATCTGCGACGTCACTCTGAGCAAGAGCCATGCAGGCGAGGAGGGTGAGGGCCAAGCATGCTGCAGTTGCTGGTGAACGAGGCCTGACGCTCCTGCTTCTCATCCTCTCCCTCATCCCCGGTCATCGCGATTGCATCCTAGCCTAGTTGGTGCAGATTAGCGCTCCGAGCATGCGAAACACTTCTCACATACCCCCACAATCCATGCTCCCTCCCTCTCGTTCCCTCTCCCTCCCTCTCCCTCCCTCTCGTTCCCTCTCCCTCCCTCTCCCTCCCTCTCGTCCCCACTCTCCCTCTCCACCTTCCTCACTCCTTCCCTCCCTCTCCCTCCCCGACATGTTCCAGAAGATCCGTGTCCGCCTCAGAGAGGTTCAGGCATGGCGCAGGAAGCTTGTAGCGCCGTGAAGGAGGCGCTGCGAGAGCATGGCGGGAGCTCTCCGTCACTTGAGATGTAAGATGAGTGTGCTGATTGTGCTGGCAATGATGATGATGACAATGATGATGATGATGAATGATGATGAATGATGATGAATGATGGTGATAATGTGATGAATGGGATGTGAATGGGAGGAAGGCTGGTTTTCATAAGGAAACGATGACAATTGTGGTGGTGGCGGTGGTGGTGGCGGCGGTGGTGGTGTCGTTGATGATGATGATGATGATGATGATGATGATGATGATGATGATGATGATGATGATGATGATGGTAATCATAGCGAGGAGGAAGACAAAGATAAGGAGGATGAGGAGAAGGATGTAGCTGTGGTTGTAGTGGCGATGGAGAAGAAGTTTGAGTTTCAGCTATCATGTTGGCTCATGTTTGTTGCAGGTTGCGGCTCTCCAAGGTGGAAGACAGCACCAAGTCGTCAACGGAGTAAGATCTGATCTGCACAATTGTACCACTACCGGCGCTCACGATGCACTGTAGGCTGTGGCGTTCGATGCATGACATGATGGTGCTGTTGATCGACCCAGAGGTCTCTTGCAGTCAGGTTAGCAGCCGCAGCATGTACCTTTCCTCCCTCCTTGGAGCTTACTACTCCGTGCTTGCCGCAGCTCGACATTCTGTGGAGCAAAGTGTGCATGAACAAGAAGAAGCAAACGAAGGTGGCAGTGGTATGTCATGTCAATGGCTGTCGCCTCCCCCTCAGCACTCGCCTGCTGCAGGTGACCACACTGGCGGCGCTGGGCTACCCCCGCCTGCACGAGCTGTACAGGATCGCTGCTTCTGAGAGCTTCGAGTGCAAGGTGAGTGAGAATGACTGCAGGGAAGTTCGAGAAGATCTGAGAAGTAATGGAAGAGAAGTCTTGCGTGTTGAGAGATGACGAGCAGCTGCTGCAGCAGTTGCAGCGGCAGCCGAGGAAGTAGGAGTAGGAGCAGGAGCAGGAGCAGGAGCAGGAGTCCTCCGCTTCCTTACTCTCTTCCTGCACCTGTACTCGCAACAGTGTCTTCCTCCTCTTCCCTATGTCTGTCCTGTTCCTGCTCGCGATTTTGATCATTGATCCTTCTGATACCCATACTCCTCCTAGGAGAAGGAGGAGGAGGAAACTAATTTCAATGCAGAGCAGGGAGCTATTGGTAGCCTGGGGATGGATGATCGCAAGAGGGAACTTTCTTGGGAATGCTACTGGGGAGAGGAGGACAGTACGGAGGCTCGGGCCAGACCAGGAAGGTATGACGAGGAGAATGAAAGCGCACATAAAGGCAATGAAGTCAATCATTCAGTCATCGAATCACTCAATCGTGCTATACTTCCACCAATCAGTCATTCATTCATGATGAGAACAATTAGAAATCAACCCAAGTCACCATTATCCCTTTAGGAAACTTCTCAGTGAATCGGAGATGTGATGGAGTGCGATCAAGATCTCGTTCAGCTCTGATGAGCTTCAACCTCCTACAAGTGAGTCTCCTTCCTCTCTCTCAGCCCTGCCGACTCACTCCGTGCACAGTTTGACTGCAGGAAGCTGTTCATCAGGTTGCAAATTTGCGCACTGTTGAGATACCTCATGGAGCTTTTCTACAGGCAAATGCACTTGGACCGACTAGTGTGCAATTTTCTTCATCGGACAAGTACTGAGCTGTGTGCAGACACGCTTTTGACTGACAAACCTTTGCAGAGATGAAACAAGCAACGACTCTCGGAGAGATTCTGAAGGTGGGAACATGGAACCGATGTTCCCCAGTACCATTCTTACACCTCCTACCAGCTGTGCGAGAAGAAAGTGAAGAAAGGCTCGAGTAGACCAGATGCTGGTTCCGATCTCCTTCTTCTCTGCATGCATGAAAAGTTCTCAAACTCTTCCTCAGAATCTCGAAAGAAATTTCTTCTCTTCTACTCTTGGCTCTCCAACGCTGCGATGCATTCCGACCACGAAAGATCGCGGATTGACCTCGAAGCATTCACGCAGCAACCCCCCTGCCAGGTCTGACCCAGCCTTGTGCGTGTTTGACGGAAACATCCAGTTGTTCCTAGTAACATGCTCTCTTCTCCTTCAGCTCCTCTCCGACCTCCGCTCCTTGCTCGTGTCCCTGGGCCCGACGGTCGTACAGCTCCGGTGACACAAGGAAAGGATGCAGGCCATGCATGATATGACGAGGATGGAGCAGGAACAAGATCGCAGTCAGCTCGACACACACCAGGAGCTCTGCTGTGTCTTCGACCGTCCGCAAGAGCTTTCGGCCCTCGGGCGGCAATTCGCTAGAGTCCCACCGGGAAGTTTGCAGGTGAGGACCTCTCCTGCTTCTCCTCCTCCTCCTCCTCCTCCTCCTCCTCCTCCTCCTCCTCCTCCTCCTCCTCCTCCTCCTCCTCCTCCTCCTTCTCCCCCTACCTTTTCTCAACATCAACAACATCATCATCATGTGCATCGTCGTCGTCACAGTCACGGTCATAGTCCTTCTTACAAATATTCATCGTTCCGATTGTCTCTGTCTCATCAGTGTCAGTGCCATTCTCCTCCGCAGACTCCACTTACCCGATACCATCGCCGTTCTGACGGCATTCTACCTGCCCGCCCGCCCTCTCCTATCTTCATCCTCCGATCTCCCTCTTCCCTTCATCACTTTCTGCTCACGAATCGCCTACAGGTGCCTCGGTGCTTCTCCGCTCTTGGTGACCGAGAGCAAGTCAGTTGACTGCATGCACTTGCTCTCCTCCTTTGTGGGAGAGGACAAGGCCATTAGCGGTAAACCTTTAGAGCGCAAGGAGCCAGTGGAGGAGGCGACGATGGAATCTCTGCGAGAGGTTTTCAGCAGAGAGGAGGCGGCAAGAGGAGCTGATGGGAGAGCGAGCGCAGATGTATGAGGACGTGAAGAGGCGTGCTGACGAAAGGAGGAGCGAGAGGGAGCGAATGGTGAGCGCGATGAGTCATTCCTGCGATAATGATCCCTTTGCAGATGAGAAGCTTTGCGACAACGATCGAGAAGAAAATGGGCGTTTCTTGGATGAGGCTGTAGGAGACTGTAACGTTCTCCGTGTATGTATGTACATGTTGCTGATAAATGTGTTTCATTCTTTTCAAAAGTATTGTTCTTAACTATCTTTCATTTCTCGGCATGGTCTGAGGCGCCGAACAAACAAAAACTCCCCAAAAACGTGCTTGCGAGCAACAGAAAACTCTCTCTCTCTCTGCGAGCAACGGAAAATAGAGGAAAAGAGCAAGCTACTTCGAGAGAGGGATCGATAGACAGACAACAAGTGACAGAGGTGGAGAAAAAGGAGAACGATGGTGGAGGAACGACATGAACACAAAATCCGTCATAGCAGGAGACAGGAGAGAGTGAAACCCAGAGGAGGGAAGAGAAGAGAGGGATGAAGAGCGGGCAAGACAAGGGAATAAGGGGGACAAGAGAATAAAGGAGAAGGAGCGTGTGCCGCTCACAGTCTGATTCTTACAATACGGAGAATCCGCCGGTTCCATAACATCAAACAACACCTTGACATGTTGTAATTTATCCCGCCGGCTCTTCCGGTCGCCTCCGATACTCCGCGTTGACGATCAGACGATAACAGTTCCTCATCATCTCATGGTGGCTATACTGGTATCTGCACTCATTCATGTCAAACTGCCATGCACAAGTCGCAGGATCTCAGGACCTTGTCGCATACATCTGATCCTGCTCATTTCCAGCCTGGAGGACATAAGGATCATTGACCAGGAAGACAACGATACGAGAACAGCAACACGGGGAGAACGGAAAACTGACAGCAACTGTGCACGTCATCGCACTACTGCACCTTGCCGGGCGTCGGATCAAACTCCTTAGGTCCTCGAGATTCAGAGACAGGGGCCACTCCGATCATGCGCAGCAGCTCGTACACGGGGCCTGCCAGTCAGCAAGGCAGTCAGCGAGGAGAGTGGCCTTGATGAGATTCACGACGGAACAAGAGAGGCACAAGCACAGTGGAAAGGAAGGCAGAACAACAAGAATGAAAGGTAGTGGTACATCTGGCAAGTAAAAGGCAGGAAAGAGAAATGCACAAGAACAGAGAAGGAAAGAGATGTGCACAAGGACGGAGGAAGGACAGAGCAACAAGAACGAGAAGGAGGAACGAGAGAGATACGAGGACGAGGCAGGAAAGAGAGAGGTACACGAACAGAGAAGGAAAGAGAGACATATGGAAGGAGAGAGAGAGGTACACGAACAGAGAAGGAAAGACAGAGGTGCAAGGACGGAGGGGGTAAACACAAGTGATATAGAAACCATAGAGAAAAGATGGATGGAGGCGACAGGCACAAAGTTTCTCACGGGTAGGGATGTTGGATGCCCCTCGGCGAGCGGCCCAGCTGCTGTTTGTCAGGACGAACTTGGAGATCTCCTGGTGAAATTCAGGCTGCTGCACGACGAGCAGGTTGAACCCGAGGATGCAATTCATCTGATCCTCAGAGATGATCTTAATTACCCCGGCCTCGTGCAAGTGCTTCAGGTGCCACAGCAGCGTCCAGAGTCGCTTCTGCGGGGTCTCCTTGTACTTGGGGACGGGGTCGGCGTAAGGGTTGCCAAAGGTGTCCTTAAACAGCGCCGACCATCGCTCCATGCAGTCACAGCACCTTGCGATCTCTGCACCAGCCTCTTGCCGAATCCTGGTTGCCAAATCCGAAGAAATGCTCAGATTGGTCTCCAGCCACTTGGGATCAACCTTGGCGATCTTGGCGATGGTGATATGAGCATGGGTTGCCTTCTCAAGGTTCGCATGGATGCCGTAGCGCTCAAGAAAGGAATGAGCTGCCGATGGCCTCTTGCAGATCCTATTGTGCATGCAATACGGCCGGCTGTTGACCAGGACCCAGGTCCCGTTCTCACGTACCTCCCCGAAGAGCAGCCGACAAATCCTCGTCCAGTCAGGGGAGCCCACGAGTTCCCTCCTCTCCGGATCCCACATGAGGCCGGTGCTGTCCACAAAACACCACCTGAGCTGAGATGCAACATTGTTGAGGAGCCTCTGACTAAGTTCGTCGAGCTTCTCGGTGTTGCTCAGTTTGTTGGAGTCTGCGTGTATTACCTTCATCATGGCGAAAATCTCATTGTTGACCTGCTTGCTGTCCACATCCGTGTCCAAACTCATAGTGTTCGTTTTTCAATCACAGTTTTGAAATTATCCTCGTGATTCAATAGTTTCAAGCACGCGCACAGTCGTTTCCCTTCACTCAGTGTTGATTTGTGTGCTGGCAAGTCTCCTGACGTGTACCCAGAACAGAGCAATCATCTCCCGCAGTAGAGTCGTCAACCCTATAAGCTGTCCCCTCCACCGAGCCAAGAAAATTCGGTGTGTGGGTTTAGACAATCGAAGTTCGTGGGAGGGAGCGTGGTCGCATCCTTAAAAAAACCCACGAACACCACTTCCTGACCGGCTTCTCCCCCTCAAGACGATCATCATGGCAGAGTCAAGAAGCTGCAAGGCTAGTGATAGCGATGCTCGCCTTGGATCCTCTAGGATAGAGTTACCTTTCTCTGCTAGCCCGCCGTCATGGCGGGCGGAAGAGGCTAGTCGAAGGGGGTGCCATCGTTGTCTCTTGAGGAGCCCCCGAGTGCGACAGGCGGGTGAGAGGGGGTGGTCGGTGGGATGAGGGAGGTGGGTGGTGCAATCGTGAAAGGTACATAGTGTTGATTATCTTTCAAACTCTCATTGGTCAAATTTGAAAATGAAACCATGGAGTTAAGAGAATGAAACCAAATCTCAAATAGGAGTGAGACCACTTAATGGGGTCATGAGATTTCCGAAATACGGGGTGGGGTTGAAGAAAGAAAGTCGCTGTCAAATGGTTCTGACTGGGGGGTGGGGTATGGAGCACGAGAGTGTAGTAACGTGACAACCCACTAACAGGATCCCAAAAAATCGGAGTTACTTTTGTTATAATCTACAGTTATACATAAAAAAGAATAATTCGGTATAATGACCAGTGAAAAAACGACTTAAATATATATAATAGCGGGTGCAGTGGAATTTTTACTTTTTCCATTATGTATAATGCATAAGTTTGTGTGTTTCTACAAACCGCCACTTGCTTCCGAACTGATGTCTTTTCGAATCACAGACCGCTGTTGTAAAATGGCGGAGCCCCACTGAGCCTGATATGTTCTTCCTTCACACCCTCCCATCTCCCCCCCCCTCCCTCCCTCTCCTCAGATCCCAGCGCTCGTCGATCAGACCAAGCAGCATGCTGCAAGCACTATCAGCCTGCCCTACAGGAATGACCTGAAGGTTGACCAGGGGTGGTGGGGCGGGTCGGTCTACTAGAAAGTCAATAGTCGGATCCGGTGACGAACTAGTCCAGAGCAAGTGCTTCGATCGGATTGGAAAGGAATCATACCGCAACATATGCTCGTCAATACAGCAGAGAGTCAAAGATGAGCTGCAGTGGTTTATCATGATGATTATGATAACGTCAGTGATTGACAAGGTCAACCGGACCAAAGTTGTGATGATTGCAATCAGTTCATTGAACAAGCTGGGCGGCGACCCTCCTACAATATCGATGATCCACTTTTCGGGCATCTAATGTTTGGACATGAGAAAGAATGTAGCTTCATCGAAAGTTGGCTCGTTGGAGAATATGGTGTTAACATCGACTCGAACATGGTTTGATCGCAAGCTTGTCATGGCGGTGGAATATCCCATCGAGTGCGATGGTGTCAACAATGAGTTTATTCCACTCCTGCGCTTGACTGACATTGAAAGAGAACATGCTCCTGTGTATAAGACTAGAGAAAGACATTGCTTCTCGAAATTGCAAATTTATTTCGAATTTCACTGAAGACCAAACAAGGCGGTAGAATTGTTTTTTTTCTACCATGGCATACGAAAGCAGAAATCAGCTAGTTGATAACAGTCACAGCCTCCTTCATCATAGAAGTCTTGCAATAAATGCGATGAGGCCAACAGATCGCTCCAATTCACCTCGACATGTGTAGTGTGCAGAATTATGGCTTCCGGTCGATGCAGAACCGAACGCGCAGGAACGAAGAGACAACGGTAGACGAGGCCTCCTATCACGATCAGCACAAACAGAAACACAATCAGATGCTTGTCTTCCAGTCCGTATCTTGCTCAGTCACATTACAGGCTGTGTGTGATTCCTTTGAAAGAGTTCGAACTGAAGGTTGGAAGGAGGAGGGAGGGAGGGACTGCGGGAGGGGCTGTGGTATATGGAAGACGAGGTCAAAGGAACAGCATGACCATCATCACGCTGCCCACGATATGAGAATCGCATGCTTTCCATCCTTTCCTCGCCTTCCGCCCACTATGTACTTCCTTCCCACCCTCTGTCGTACTTTCCATCCGTCAGTTCAAACGACAAGTTGTCTGTGCTCTTGCAGGCAACCAGCCAGCCTTTCCATCCTCCTGCTCCTCTCTCCTCCTCTCTCCTCCTCTCTCCTCCTCTCTCCTCCTCTCTCCTCCTCTCTCCTCCTCTCTCTCCTCCTCTCTCCCTTCCATCACCTCAGCCATCCCCGCTACCTCCGTGCAAGTCATCAAGCTGGGTAGTAGGCCCTCCCCTTTTTTCCAACTGACATAGCAATGGAGGAGGCGGGAAGGCAGGGAGGGGAGGAGGAAGGAGGAGGAAGACTGAAGTAAGACAAGCCCGAGGCATGCGAGCAAGAAGGAAGGAAGCCAATCCCTTTCGCCCAAACCCATACGTCACCCTGAAGCACAAGGCCAAGGGGAGCGGTGTGACGGTAAGTTTGAGGGTGAGACGCGGGAGAGATGATGGGGCTGGAAGGACCTTTACGTCAGGCTCGAAGACTTCAAACCCAACTTGTCATATGAGAGCGTCATGGGAACCAGCAGGAAAAGTCTGCAGACAAGCTCGCGGAAGAAACTTGAGTTCACTAGCTCCCCGGGAGGTGCCCGCGCTGTCAGCTGCTTGTCTGGCGCTGAGAGTCTTGTAGGAAATGTGAACCACCCTGCTCTCTCAGCGAGGGGGACGAGAAAGGTTGGCACATCATACATGAGGGAGAACGACTGACAAGAAGGAGCAGGAGGAGCTCGAGTTCCTGGAGAATCTTCTGAGCAGGCAGAAGCGGGGGGCGAACAACGAGGAGGAGGAGGTTCGTTGAAGTTGCTTGCGTGAGCTCCGTCTGATTCCGTGAAGATCTCCGATGAGATGAGCTGGCAACGACGAGGCTTTCCAAGTCTCCGCACCAAGATCAACGAGCGGAGGGTGAGGAGAGACGGGGCTGAGGTATGTGTAGCTGAAAGAGGTATGAAGGAGCTACAGCAAAGAACCGTCCCTCATCTAAAGCCTCTCAAGCACCGCAAGTGAGCTCTCTATCGCTCTTGATCCTCCTCTGACCTTCTCCTAGCGTGTCTGCCATCTGTGACGTCGCGATCCTGAGCAACTTCCCGACCTCGCAGGAGTACGCGAGCAACGCACTAGCAGGTTGCTGCTTGCTCGTCCGCCACCACCACCACCACTTCATCCTCCCTCTCTCCTTCTTCCTCCTCCTTTTACCTACGTCTCCTTCTCGAGCTCTAGCATCTGCTTGTGTGCCCTCCTCCTCCACTGTCACAAACTGTTTCATCGTCAATGAATGATCCGCCAGCCTTCTGCTGCATCAAGGAGGACCGCGAGTTCTTCCTCTCGGCCGGGGGGGTTCAGTTCACCATCGACCTGCTCCTCAAGTGCAAGAGCAGCAAGGGAAAGAGCGAAGCCTGCGACGCTCTTGCCCAGGTCCTGCTGGAGGCTTCCAGGAAGTGCTGAGGCTCTGACTGTAACGGCAGCTTCTGAAGAACGAAGGAGCATGCAAGCAGTTCGTGAAGTGGAAAGTGAGATGCAGGAGCAGGAGAAGCAGCAGGGAGCAGCGAAGGAGGAGCAGGGGGAAGAGGAGGAGGAGGAGGAGGAGGAGGAGGAGGAGGAGGAGGAGGAGATGTGGCACTGAGAGGAGGGAGCAGGGTACGGATTCGAGGACTGGGGAGGAGTTCAGCTCTGGGCTGGACCTCATCTTCCGCATGAGAGGGTCGAAGAACGCGCAGCTGCAGGTAGTGGAGGTGCGTTCAAGTCAGCTGCTAACGGCGAGTCCTCTGCAGCGAGCAGGGATTGAAGTCTGCAATGTTGTGCTGCTGTCAGATGCTCTCAAGCACAGTGAAAGAATCAGCCCGGAGTTCCTGCGCGGACTGTGCAGCTACTGCCTTGCTGGCGACCTGAAAGCTTGTACAAGGGCAGCTCAAACTCTGGTATGCCTCCTCCGATCCATCTCTCTTCCCCTCTCTTCTCCTCTCAACTTCTTTCCCTTTCTTTCTGCAGTCTTCTTTGCAATTCCTCCTCTCTCCTCCTCCCCCTCCTCCTCCCCCTCCTCCTCCCACTCCTTATCCCACTCCTCCTCGTCGTCTTCCTCTTCCTTATCTTTCTCCTCTCCCTCTTCCTCTTCCTCTTCCTCTTCCTCTTCCTCTGCCTACATTTTCCTCCTTTCATCCTGATACAGGTGTCCATCTTCAATCGCGTGCTCGACACAGGGATACGATGGAAGGTGGAGTCGCTACAGCCGATCTTGGAGCTGTTCAAGTCCTTCGACATGCAGCCTGCGGTCATGCAAACCTGAAGACGAGGAGGGGCTGACGAGCAGAGCAGGTGCGGACGCTGGTGCTGAGAGCAATGACGGTCATCACAAAGGAAGGAGACACGCTTTGCAACCTCTTGTCCAAGGTCTGTCAGAGGCTGAGCGTGCGCTGTCACGACCAACATGCTGCAAGATCGGATGCATCAAAACGTTGGCCTTGCAGCTCTCTTCTCGTCACAACGAGGGCGTGCCGATAGACGAGGTGAGGAGAGGCAGGAGAGTCTGGTCGGGCAGCAGCGAGCTGAGAACGTTGGTTGCAGGATGATATAAACTACCTTCGCTCCATCACGCAAATCTGCGAGACTGATCAGAAACGGTTTTCCAGCTCGTCTTCTCGCTCCACATCCGCCCACTGTGTTTTCCATCCTCTCTTCTTCTCCCCCTTGATTCCTCTTCCTGCCATCGCCTCTCTCTGTCTATGCACCTCTGCTTCCTCTTTTCCATCCTCTTGTTAGCGACCCTTCTTGATCGTATGCAGGGTGGAGGACGTGCTTATCATTGGAGCTGTTCCGAGAATCATCTCCGTGTTCAAAGAACATCTTGCACCCTACGATGTTCAGCTCAGCGTTGAGGTGAGCTCGTGATGTATTTACATTCCCTTGTGACGATGAGAAGCTTGAGGTGCAACGAAAGTGCATTCGTCTGTTTGAGAAACTTGCTTCAAGACCCAACACAAGGTCGGAATTCTTCGATTCAGGGTGATACAACAGCAACATGTTCTGTGCATGTTTGTGATATCTTTCAAGGATCGTCAAGCTTATCATCGACATTCTGGAACTTGAAAACTGCTCTTGCAAACATCTTCTACACCACATGCTTGTTGATGTGGGGCGACCAACACTCTCCTTGAAGCAACTCACCCACTCGCAGATCTCACAAGATAGCCAAGTGCAAGAGAAATGGTCGAGAATGGGAGCAGCGGACATTCCACGTCTCATCAGGCATATCAAGATCGAGAACTTGGAGCTTCAGACCGACGTCCTTGCTCTCTCCCTGCCTCCTCCTCCTCCTCACCTTCCCCTCAGGTGCTCGAGACCTGCGAGCTCATCTGCTCCAGCGCCAACGTGGTGCACCAGCTCAGGACGACCCCCATCATGGAGTACCTCATCGACCTCCTCGATGCTGCTTGCAAGCATGAGAGCAGATCGTACATGCAGCAGGTGCTGCTAGCTGAGCAGGGACGAGGAGTGACGCGAGACTTGCTGCAGATACTGGCGGTAGGGACTCGTTTCCTGCTCGCCTTCTCCCGACAGGAGGAAGGGTTGAAGCACATGCAGCTGTGGAATGTGATCCCGAGAATCGATCCCAACATGCAGAAGGTGAGAGGAGAGAGCGATAGAGACGGAAGGAGGAAGTGAGGGCTTGCAGTATGAGACGGACAGGATATCGATGAGAGGGAGGGGAGGGGGAGGAGGGAAGAAGAAGAGAAGAGAAGGCGGGAAGAAGGCAAGGAGTATGAGAGGAAAGAACCATGAGAGCAGAGCGGACAAAAAGACGTTACAAAGTGTGGTGCAAGTGACGACGCAGTATTGATAAGGAGACAACCCATTGTTGAAGGTTGGTGGCAGGCAAGGGGGATTCTCTACGAGAACCAAGACAAGGAGAAGATCTGGAGGTTCTACGACGAGCTTCTCTCAACAGCGACTTAACATCGAACATGTCAACCCAAATGAGATGCACCGATGAGCAAGTCGGTGTCGATGTGTTTGTGATGAACAAGTGTGTATAAATGGTGTGATGTGAACAAGTTTGTATGCAATCCCTTCCAACATGTTTAGACCTCCATCTGCTTCTTGACCTTGTCCTCCTTGTCATCTTGCGGAGAGGCCTGCGGAAAGCGTCAACCATCCGATGTTTCTCCTCCTCACCGCAGACCTCCATGCGCATCGCTCCTCCTGCTGACACTCCGGTATCGGAATCAATCGTTCCCTTCCCTCTCTTGCGCTCTCCTGCAACCGCCAACGTCAACAGGCCATCCACCTTTCCGTCTTCCCCTCTGTCCCTTCCCCTCCCCCTTCCCCTCCCCCTTCCCCTCCCCCCCCTCTTCCTCCGCGCCTACCAGTGGTGAGCTTGATAGCGACCAGGCGCTCCTCCTTGCTGACCTTGATAACCTAACGACATGTTAGCGCCATTTCTCACTCCTCCACCATGGCAACCTCTGCATTCACGTCTCCTCCAAAGAAAGTCTCGTAACGCTTCACGCGGACTGGATCTGCCCAGGTCTTTCCCTTCATGTCAGCAACGAAGTCGCGCAAGGATGTGCAAAGCTCCTTATAGCACATCCTCCCTCCCCACCCCCCTTCTCAACATTCCATCCCTTCCCCAGCTGCTCCCTGCTCCCTGCTCCCTGCTGCCTGCTGCCTGCTGCCTGCTGCCTGCTGCCTGCTGCCTGCTGCCTGCTCCCTCTCTCTCAACCCTCAGACATCACCTTGTAGGGAGTGTCCTTGCTCTGGAACACCATGGTGAAAGCAAGCTCGCCTCCTGCACGGCTGTAAGGGCAGCGACTCACCTACCAGACCCTCACCTTCATTCTTGATAACGATCTTCTGCATCTGGGGGAACCCCTTGCCCTCCACAACCAGACCCTGAGCGTTCCAGTCAGAGGGCAGAAGCGCCGGGGCGAAGACAAAAAGACACACAAGCTTCTCGAGCGAGCTATCGAGGTGAGCGTCGTCTCCATAGCGATGCCTCGTCACGTCCGCCCTAACCTTTCTCAAGATCTCGTTGGCCTTCTCTGCAAATATCGCCTCGCTGCCACGTCATCAGGTATTCTTCCCGCTCGCTCCCGCACCTCCTCTCCTCACCCTCTCTCGTCTGTGTCAACATCCACAGGCAGGATCTCGGCATACTTGAGGGCAAACCCTCCCAGGGCGATGGGAAGGCCGTAGACGAAGCCAAGGGAGGTGAGGGAGTTCTGGTTGGTGAAGTACTGGTAGAAGGAGAAGAGCGTAATGAAGATTCCGAGGCCCAGAGTCAAGTTGGCAAGCGAGAAGCCGCGGATCTGAACAGTAGGCTCTCCCTTGTTGCTGAATCCTCCTCCTGTCAGCGGTGACAACCCATCCTCCCTGCTGCAAGGTCAGCACTTGGATGGCACAGCTGCGGACCAAGTGACTAACCGTGGTCCTTGCTGTGCGCGCAGGGAGAGCGCGGCTGCCCTGCTCGGTCTCTGCCTAGCGCTGAAGATGGAGGAGCGAGGGCTGGCCGATGGTTTCATCGCAAGTCTGCTAGGAGCTGTGTGAGACTGGAGGGAGGAGAAGCGATGAGCCAACCTTCCAGACTGGAGGGAAAGGCTCGGAGAGAATCCGAGAACCATGGGAGTTGCCATAAGCACAAACAGGCTCTTCAAGTACATCTGTCAACAGTGTTATTTTGGGCTGTGGAGCCATCCATCGGCCCATGTCCAAGCTGCTTCCCTTGCTGCACATTCGCTTCTTTGATCTCATCTCGCATCTTCTTCCTCCTCTCACGTCTACATTCTTGCCAGCTGTCATCCTGCAACCCCTAGTTCATCAGCCAAACCTCGCCATCGTACAGGCCCGAGTATGCCCTACCCCTCGCAACTTGATCATCAGATTTGGCCTCACTTCCTTACTGCTTGGCCTCCTGCATCGTCTCTGCTCCCTCCCTATCATCATCCTCCATCGAGCTCTCTGTTCTTCTCCCCTCCTCCCTCCTCATCCTGCTCCCTCCCTCCTCTCTCGCTTCTCCCTGTGTGTTCTCATGTCAGCGTGATCATCTTCCCCTTTACATGTGGTAGTTGGCGGATCCACCCACCCCCATCAAGTGGAATACCCCAACATAGCACCCTGAATACCACAAGTTTTGGCCTACCCCTGGAGACGTAAGGTATATGGACCCCTGCCATCCCACCACTACCCCTCACCCTATGGTGCAACCCTTATAAATATCCGAGCTTTCGGGGGTGTATTGCGCCCCCCCCTTTGCATGTCCCACCCTACCCCCTGGTACCTATTACCACCCCCCTGGATCCACCCAATTTCACACCTACCTGATTTTTCACCCGCCAACCTTTCTGCGTCTTCTACACATAAGGCAGAGAGAAAAACAAGCCTGCCTCAGCAGCCAATGACCACCCTCCCCATGTCCCACCCCGGAAAAGATGACCCCCCCTGCAGGGAATGTTTACCCACACTCGTGCCCTACCCCTTCAAATAAGTCCTTGAACTATATTGACCCCGTTATTCTAATCAAAAATCTATTAGGCAAGGACCCGTCTGTGTCTCCCCTACCCCACTATTCACATCTCCCAGCCATGTTGCCCACGGTATGCTCACCCTACCCCCGCTTCCATAGGACTGAACCTGATCCGCAGTCGGGCGCCATGTCGACAATGCTCGGTACTGTAGCGATGCTTCTATGCGCCGGCAGCGCTTCTGCCTTCCACCAGCATGCAGCTCTGAACTCATTCACGCATACATCTGGTGCTGCCACAAGTTCTCGATCGCTCACTCCATCTGTTCTCTCCTGTCAGATGCAGTCGAACAGCAAGGCAATGCAGTGGAGCAGAAGAGCTCTGCTGCTCACTGGGGGAGTAGCCCTCCCTGCCTTCGCCTTCGAGAACAGGATCGTGGATCTCCGACCGGAGCTGGATGGGGTTCCCTATGGAGCACGAACAGCTGTGCCGGAGGGGGTGGGGGAAGGTACCGCCCTCAAGGGCTGCCCCCCACCCTTCAAAGCTGCTCGGCCTGCTCCGAATTGCTTCAGCTCCTTCATAGACCCCAAGAAGGACCGGGACCACTACTACAAACCATTCAAGTACAACAAGGATGAGAAGGAAGCCATGAACGAGCTGCTTGCTGCTGTAAAGGCGTATCCGCCAGGGCAGGCAAACATTGATGCAGGAGGGTGGAAGCTTGTCAGGAATGATGATAGATACATCTATGTGCAGTATGAAAGCGGCAAGATTGGTTATCTTGACGATCTTGAGTTCTTGATGGATCCCGAGACTAAGTCTGTGAATGTTCGATCTGCAAGGTGATTTGTTTGCACTGTTTGAACCATGATGTTGGCTGACTAGGTTGCTACAGCCGCGCCGGTTTCCTTGACTTCGGAGTGAATGCCAAGAGGATCAACTGGTACGCCAAGTACCTTCGCAACCTTGGATGGGAGACGACCGACGTGACACCTGACAACTATCGTTTTTACTTCAAGCAGAACGGTACAGAGTGACCACTATGATACTACTGCGGCGGCCTGTAGTTTGTACTATCACATGCAGTGCTCGGAAGGTTCTGAACTGTTCTGAGCCTTGCATCTTCCCTTTCCAAGTTAGTTTTGAGCACCTCCGGGTAGCCTGCAATGCCATGCCATGATGATGATCGTCCGAGGGATGTAAGAGGTTATGCGGGTCAAAAGTTGACTCCAAGTCAGTCGGAACCGTATCGGCGGCGGAACTTCGGAACTTAACTAAGGCTTAGGACTCCGGGAAGTACTGTACTAGCGCCCCATAGCAATACTAGGCTACTAACGGCCTGTTAGTACCGTACCGGATGACGGCCGGGCGTACTCAGCGGCCCCGGCCCCCAGCGCCGCCCGGCGGCCGCGCTCAGCGCAGGCCGGGCCGGGCAGGCCCCGGGCCCTGCTTAACGGTTCCCGGCTCCCCGGGAGCCTTCAGAGTCAGTCCACTGTGGCACCGTCACCGTACTACGCCGGTGACTCGGAGCCACCCGGTGACCGGCACATGCAGTGCGGCGGCGGCTGCGTGATCGGACCGGACCCCGGGCCCGGCCGGGCCGCGGACTTGACTCCGAGGCTCACTGAGTCCGATCAGGCTGACGGGGCCCGGGGCCGCCGGGCGCCGGCCGGGCGGCCCGGCAAGTTTCACGGTATGCCACCGGTATAAAGTGTATAAGCGTGTATAAAGAATAGGTTTTATAGGTCCATGGAATGGCTTCGGTTGTAATAGGGGAGAAGGTGTGCAGAGAGGGAACAGGGAGGAGGAGGAGAAAGACGAGGACGAAGACGAAGAGAGCATTGTGGTCTAAGTGTGGGATGAGAAGTGGGAAAGAAAGGAGGATAGATGCCAAGTTTGTTCCTCTCAGTTCAACAGGAATTTTTCATGATCTCTGTGAATGAGGCACCGGATTGTTGGAAGCAATGGTCTCAACAGACGAAGGGTATAGTCCGTGTGAGGTACGCTAGTGAAGATGTGCCGCAGCATCTGAGGTACCAGGAAGTGTTCAGACGAAGGTAAAACGGAGGAATGCTGATGACAGGGTGCTGGTCTCGTTGAATCAGGTTATCCCAGTCCGTGTGTACTGATTGTAGGAGGAACTCGATGTAGACGAGACTCTTTTAGAGAAGGAGAAAACATTGTTGATGCTACTAATGTCCCTACCCCCTTCCACCCAATCTGCAATGTGTCCCTGTCCAACTACATTTCCCCCCACACTTACCCTCCCTCCCTCCCTCCCTCTTCCTCCTTCTTTCAACTTTTGATGTAATCATTTTCGACCCAGATGATAAACAGGAGCCTCGCATCGTAACGCAGCATGGCCGTGGATGCGTATGGAACCAAGGAGCGAGCATGGGCTGGAGATAGCTGGACTTCAGCTCCTCGCATCACGGGGATTACAGTGTCATCTGACTTAGCATGGAAGCAGAAACTTCGGATCCTTGACAAGCCCAGGGAGTCTGATAGCTCGCACAATGGGCCCTCCAAACTGCAGAGACTGAGGGAGAAGCTGGAACGAGCCATGGGGGAGGATCACAGGGAGACGAAGGGGGGGAAGGCCATGTGTGAACGCCCGCAGGAGAGTCTAGCAGCCGGGCTGATTCCGAGGCAGGAGGCCCAGAGGGCGGACAAGGCGCACGGCTCCTACTTGACTGTCCCTCCTAACCTGCCGGCCAACTCCCCGAGATTCCTGAGCTTCTCCGATCACACCAGCCCGCAAGAGAAGAAGGTCGGCAGGAGGTGCAACATTCGCCCCGAGCCCTCCAGTGGGCTGACCGGCTCAGGACTCGTGTCCAACGACGGGTTTGGATATGGCAGGTTCGAGGGAGATGTGCTGCACAAGATCAGCCGGCAGGAACGAGGGTCTGTCTTCCGGGATACCGCTGGGAGATATCTCACGTCCACTCCACCTCTTCGCGAGGAGAGAGCAGGTGTGTATGATCAAACCTTTTACACGCCCCCGCAAGAGGATCCGTTGAGGCATATCACTCCTCATGACGAGCTCTTCAAGCATGTCACGGGCTCCTCCAGCTCCTCGGTGTACTCGAGAAGGTCGGAGGTCAGAGAGGTCACGCCCAGCTACAGAGAAGCTTCAAGTCTCGACGAGCCCAGGAGAGAGAATGTCTCTTCTTCCTTTGATCACAAAGAGAACTCTCATCATCCTCAGGAGCTGTTTCATCAGGCTCCGACACTGAGCATGTACAGAGACGAGCACGTTAACCGGGCAGAGCATCACAGGATGGCTGCGAGCAACCGGCCCCCTGAGAACAGCACGCTCATGGCCGGTTCGTCTCCCGGCAGACAAGACGCCCGATCAAGGCTGGATCACAGCAGGATGAGCAACGTGGATGGTTTTAGCCTCCTGCAGCAGGTGAGGGGAGAGACGGGTCAGGTCAACGGCGGTTCTCATGAGTGTCTGCAGATGGAGAAAGACAACGCTCTGTTCATCAAGAATCCGAGCTTCGAGAACGACAGAGAGTTCTGGACGTATCAACCCATACGTGACAGCAGGCCAGAGCCTGAGCTCAGCATCGACAGAGCGTTCGATCGCCGGTGGCGGGAGAGACGTGAGTGGTTGACGAGGGCCCGGGATCGGAACTGACAATCATGGCGGCGTCAGCCCACCCTGTCAAGAACCTGCTGGAAGAACCGGCTCTCCGTGCACAGAACATGGTGATCTGATTTGCTGGTGTGAGCTAGAGCTTCTTCTGGTTACTCATCATGATCCCAGGTTCAACGATTTCGCAGCGGAAATCGCATGCAAACTGATGCCGGGGCTCCTGCCTTGGGGTTCGGGTCTGACAATTTGAAACCCAACTACTACGTCTCTCCTCGGGACTCGGCGCCGGAGCTCGGAGGAGGCAGGAGCAGAGGAGTGTTCGGAGCGCAGCAGCCTGCCTGGTTGCAGTCCACCACATCCATCTCAAGACAACAGCTAGGAAATTACCCTCATCGCCCTCTCCCTTCCCACCTGTCCCCAGAGGTGCGTCTCCCTGTTCTCCTGTGATGTTATAGTGTTTCGTGTAGTTTATTTACTGAAGTATTCAACGACTCATTGCGCGTAATCCTGTACCCACTGACGCACCTGCCACCGCCATGATCAATCGTCCGGCAAGATGAGTCAAGGGAGATCATGCAAATTACAAAATGCAAGAAACATGTGAGACAGAGGTGCAGTCAATGCAGTCGACGGATGTCGTAGCAATGAGGACAAGAGCAACCCAAGAAGAAGGCTAGATCACACCTTTGCGTTGAAAGCCTCTCGGTCATCTGCATAGAGTTTCGCCACCTGAAAGAGGATGAGAAGAGATAAGAACAAGGAAAGTCTTGTTTGACCTCGGGAACTAAAGGATTCGAGGGGTTTGGATCCGTAAATAATGTGTGCAAAGATAAAATAATCTGATCGAAAAGTCCGCGTTACACACCGAGATTACTGTCAAAAATCAGAGACAGGAGACACCTGTCTTAAAGAAACTGCTGGGTTCCATCCTTCCGAAATAACATCAAGACAAACCTGGAATGCACAGTCAATGACTAACATGCCGAATTTGATATCGCGTGCTGAGTGTTATCTCAACATCTGGCATTGCAAAGCAATCGTGAAGCAGTTTCTGAAATCAAACAGAACATTTTTAACCCTCGTCTTCTAATCAAGACAGATCACATGACAAAGAAGCTCATTTGCATACTTGCAGGCAGATGCACACGCAAACATACACAAACAATCAATCAACCTTTCCATCATCCGTAATATTTGGATGAAGGACTTTGGTTGTGAAGTTTAGTTTGGGCGGCTTAAATGGATATTCAGCAGGAAATTTCATTTCGAACTGGCATAGTGTCAGTGACGCCTTGATATCAAAGTCTCGACAACCTTGAATCGTCCTCCTTCATAAGGCGTCCCCTCCTGAAAAACAGAAAGGGTATAGTCAGTAGGTATGACATCGGATCGAACAATTCACCGGTCCATTAACGAAGCCTTCCCATTCATAAATATTCTCTCCTTTCGGCTGAGCATCACCCTGCAAAGAATACATCATGTTCTATCTTGTAAGAGGCTTGCATGCTTTTCTAGCGCCTATTTCGATGTTCTACTCTGCCATGGAGCCACAGGATTCCATCATCGAGCTACGGCTTTACAACCGTGATCAGCAAGAAAATCTGCAGCTCTGCGTTCTGAATTTCCCCTTATGCTTTCAATTCTTCCTTCTGCACACTATCATTCCTTGAAATTCAATCATTTTCCCCAACCTTCATCCCATCCATGAACTTTCATGCAAACATGCATGTCACAATCTAGCCCATCATACATCTGTCTATCGAGTATCTTCCATAGACCATCTTGCATGTTCGTTCCATCCTGCATCTCTTGCCTCCCACGTCTGCCATACCTGCGGTATCGGATCATTGCGAAGCCCACGAAGCTCCTTGGACAACTTGTTCTGCGCCATGGTGTGGGATAGGACTGCAGGGAGGTGGTGAAGACGTGGGGGTGGTCTCAAATTGAATGAACATTATTTCTGGAGGGTAGGGTACGAAACTGAAATAGAGGTGAAAGTACGGGTAGTCTGCAGTAAGAAAAGGCTATGGAAAGGTGGTAAGGGTCAGGCCTCCATGATGCCACCATGGTGGGGTACATAACCCACCTCTGTGTACACTGACATAAATCGGTGTTGGAAGGAAGGGGTAGGGTAGAAAATATTTGGAGGTAAGACTTCAAATGTTGGTTGATCCTATGAAATTCGCTTCTATATTTCAAAAATTGCTTTGGTGACTTGAATCGGCAGAAATTTGAGAGTTCTGGGTAGGCCGAAGTGTTCCGGAGCTTCTCCCACATTTGAAATTCTGTATCGAAATTTTCGAACACCACATGATAAAATCTTGGGCGAATCGGAACTCGGAACTTGCGGCTCACCGGCTCCGCGCCGGCCCGGCCCGGATCACTGCCAGGCTGAGTCATCCCGGCCCCCCCTGGCACCACTGGGCCGCCGGGCCCGGCGGGGCACCCGGTGGCACCCGGTGACCGGGGGGCGCCGCCGCCGGTGACGGCCCGCGGGCAGCCGGCCTGACCTGACCGGGTCTCGGAACGGCAGCGGCAACCGTTCAGTGAACGGTTGGGCCCCGGGCCCGGGCCCGGCCCGGGGGCCCGAGCCTAAGCGGTCTTAGGCCTACTAGTACGGTATGATCACAGTAGTTTGATCCGACGAAGCCGGGGGGAACACCCCGCCGCCCCGCGGGTACGGTAGGCGGCCGTTCAAACTGGCAGGCTTTGGGCCGCGGCCCGGGCCGCGCATCCGACGGCGATGATCACGGCCCGCCGGTGGCAGGACCGTGACTGCAGTGCAGCGACTCATCGGATAACAGTACGGTGTTGGCTTACCTTGACCGTACTGCACTGACAGTGCCGCACTGCGGCAGTACTACGGTACGCGTCACGGAATTCAATTGTACAGAGGCTGACAGTGTGAACCGTCATCAAGAATGCAGCAATGGCGCCGCACCGCTGCGTGCCGTTGCCAGGCTGCATCGCTGGAGTGCGTGACCAAGAGATTGAAAACAGGACTCTTGAACAGAAGCTCGAATGCGACCATACAACTCTAGAAAGCACAGATGTTCATACGTTCAACGCTACCTGCAGTACTCTTTTCTCGTTCAATCCCTGAAAAGCCTCGATGAAACTCGTAATTGAAACAAAATTTGAGAAGTTCTCGCAGTACCGAGTCAAGTTTTGTAAGAACTTGAGCATCAACTTTGATGCTTTCATTGGATATTCTACACAACATTGGTTCTCCCTCAAGTACACTTAAACCAAAGATTATCTACAGTCACCCAGTATCCCACGGCCTTAGCCGAGCTTGCAGCATTACCTCCCGTCAAAGGCGAGGGTGTAGGGACAGTCTTCCTCCATCTCGTCCGGCAGTGACACGAACCACTCGATGAACCCTCGTGATAGTCCTTCGCATTCGCCTGCCTGCGACTCCTCTCTCCCCGCACCAGCAACTGATACCTCCTCTGCTGCTTGAGGGGCTTCTTGGTCCCTATGGTCCCTGTTGTAGGGCCATCGCATGATGCCCAGACGTCGGCACACGCCCCTGAAGGCTGTCAGCGACAGACCCTGCAAGGAACCCGGTCATGACGTCTGTGGTGTCGACAGGGACTTACCAGCATGGCAGCAGCGTCCTCCTGCTTGAGATGAAACAGGCTCTCTAGCTCCCCACGAGTCACCTCCACCGCAGTCATCGCCCGCTGGGCACTGTGACGACGGCGAGGGAACACGCGGATGGAGCCGGCAGGCGGGGGAGTGCGACTAGAGCTAGATCGGGCAAGATGCGGCATGACAACCGTGTCAGGGGGGAGGGATGAGAGTAGTGCGAGGGAGCGTGCAGTGTAGGTAAGGATGGTCTTCCGAGAGCAAGGAGGTGAGGGAGGTGCTGGCTCAATGTGTGCGAACGAGGTTGAGGAATATCACAACGCACCTGGCATTTCCCATGCTATTATTCCTCGTTATTCATGAAAGGTAGTCTTTTGGAGTCTTTCTTGCGAGGGTATCCATCGTTTACTCAAAGTTAAGTTAAAGATCCTGCTAAAATACTTGTTGGGCTTAAGACTTTTCATGCCTCCCTCTGGGATATGCCGTCCGCCAAGTTTACTATCACTTGAAGGTATCAGTTAACTTTGGGGGACAGCAGTCGGCAGGATTGGGTTTGGTTCTCGCTGTCTTTCTCTTCTCGCCGTTTGGCCTGTGCGACAGTGTCAGGGTCAAGCCTCCTCGACTCTCCTGATTGTCCTCGTACTGATTTTTAACTTAACTTTGAGTAAAGAAATCACTTGAAGTAATATGAGTCTTTACTCAAAGTTCAGTTAACTGTTGAAAACGTCTTGAAACACCGGCACTGTCCGGTCTGAGTACGAGGGCCGGGAGGCTCGGAAGTCACGGAGTAGTCCTGCCGCATATGACAGTGTGGAGGGAAGCCTTCAAAGCCTCAAATCCGATCCGTGACATACCGAGTACGGTCTCGCCCGGCCGCCTGAGATCACCGTCACAGAGTCGGCCGCGGCGCGGGCTGCCCAGGCTGCGGCCGTGGGCGCGGCCTCGGCCACCGGGCCGCCGGTCCGGTCGTCCGAGTCACCGCACCCCTGCCGCAAGACCGTAGGGACTCAAGCTTCCGGGCCGTGGTGAACTGAGTCGCGGCGGGGACTCCGGACGCGCCCGGCCCGGCGGCCGGCCAGGGCCGGCCCGGTGGGGGACTGCCTTATTTTATTACTCAACTTTTTTTAGAGGCCGGCATTCCGCGTATGGCATGTACGAGAGGGACGATGAGACGAAATGAGAGTAGATGAGATGAGATGAGATGAGATGAGATGAGATGAGATGAGATGAGATGAGATGAGATGAGATGAGATGAGATGAGATGAGATGAGATGAGATGAGATGAGATGAGATGAGATGAGATGAGATGAGATGAGATGAGATGAGATGAGATGAGATGAGATGAGACGAGACGAGACGAGACGAGACGAGACGAGACGAGACGAGACGAGATGAGATGAGATGAGATGAGATGAGGGGCGAGGCGAGGCGAGGCGAGGCGAGGCGAGGAGATTGGATGGGATGGGATAGGAAGGAATGTGGGAGACGTGGAGGGGAGGGGATGGGATGGAATGCGATCAGTCACTTATATTTTCATGGAATAGAAGACAATGATGAGGTTGAGATGACGCAATCTCTGTGCTGAACTACCTCGATTGACTGCAGGGAACTGGCGTGTGCCCCAAGAAGCCTATAAACATGGCATGGGCGAGATCCTCAGTTTTCGGTTTTGTGCTGCTTGTTCTACAGGTTGAGAGTTTTCATGTATCTTTCAAGGTCAGAAAATTTTCATAGTGATATTCTACCTGACGTTGAGACCAAGCCTTCTATGCTTCGATGTGCCCCATTGGCAACGACGGTGTCGAAGAGAAATCCACTTTCGCTGTATGCTCAGAGCATCAGCGACCTCGTGAAGAAGGTGGAGAGTGCAAGTGCAAAGACGAAAGCTCCCACCAAGGTCTGACACTTTGAGATTGATTGACAGGAAGGTTGTGAAACATCTTGCAGATCTTCAAGTCATTGAAGAAAACATCCGGTTCGCCATCAATATCTGTAGAATTCTTGAGACCGGAGAAGGTGAGATAACATTGTAACACTCTATTATGGAATGATTCAAGCGCTGCAGATTCCTGTACATGATACTAAATCGCTATCCTTCGAGATTCGGAGGTCCAAGGTGTGTGGGACCAACCAGCTCTGGAGGAATATGTCTTGACACCCAAGCAAGGTCGCGCTGCTCGTGGTGGATACTGCTGTTGCAAATGGCGATCAAGACTTTGAAGGGTTCGTAAAGGAACAACAAACTGTATGTGAAAGAGGCGAGTAGTCCTTGTTGGTTGTCTCAAGTGTTGGGCAGGCCAAGGGCAAGTTTCCCGGCCCTGTGCCTCTAGTGTGGAGAGGTGCGATTGAAACGATAGAGGATATCGCAAAGGTAATACAAAATGATTGAAACGGAATGAAAACAGGGAGACGGAGAGCAGGGGCAGGGGCAGGGTCAAGAACATGAGATGGAGCAGGAAGAGCGAGAAGGAGTTGGAGGGGGGAAGGAGGAGAGATTGATGTTGCAGAAATAGAATGTTTTCTGATGGCATGATGTTTTTTGCTGCCAGGCGAAAGCTGCTGGTGCTGATGGAGTTTCTTTTGCTGCTTCCTCTCTTGGTGAAGAGAAGACGGCCGTGATGGTAACGAGCAGCAGCACAGAAGAAAGCAGACGCGCTGAAGCCTGAAGCAGGTAAACGCTTGCCATGTCCTGGGGATGGAGCCTTTGGTAGAGGTCGGTGATGCCAACGAGGTGCGTGTCCTCACGTGCGGAGAAGGAGATGGCTGACTTGAACCCCCAGATCAACTGGGCAGTGTCTGCGGGTGCCAAGTGTCTGTGCGTTCGCTTCAGCTCCTCGGCCATCTCTAGGTAGAGGATGGACTTCGGGGACAGCGAAGGCGGACTGACTTCCTGCTGGCTAGTTTTCTTGTGTCGGCTGCAAAATCTCTGCAGAATGATCTACCCGATGATTGCGCTGTCATCGCGACCGTGCAAGGAAGACAAGTATGCTTTTGAACGCTACACTGCTTGCACTGATTCTTTTGAAGGGAGGTGCAGAAATAGAGCAGGCGAAGTCTCTTCTCGATGCCAACTACAATGGAGTTTTGTTCTCACGCATGGTGAGTCTTATGAGAACCTTGTTCTCGAATGGTCGTGAGCCTGTACAGCTGGAAGACGCCACAGACCGTTTCTCGGAGCCATACCTCAAGTACATCATGGCTGTGATGCAGGTACAAGCTTCGAGCTGCAGTGCCGTGCGTTGCTCAGACAATCCATTTGCAGAGCAAGAAATCTCAAAACCTGCAGATCAACGAGATCAAGGTGGGGTATGAACCTTGACTCAATCTTCTATCTCACATCAGAGTCTGCAGCCTGGTCAGAGCGGGTGGGGGGCAGGTTTGGGTCAACCTCCTCCAGGCTGGGGCAGCGAACAGTCGCACGCGTAGATCCGAACGTGGCAAGCAGACACTGGCAGTGCCATTCAATCAAACTTTCAAACTGCCACCGTTCAACTTCAAGTTCGGAACTCCCAGGCTAGGCCTGCGAATTTGGAACTGTGAGTCCACTATGATGATGCCGCCATGGTCGAATCTAGAGCTTTCCTGGCCTCCGAGTCACGTGCCAGCCTGAGGCTCCGCCGGCACGCGGCCAGGCTGCACCGCACGACTACGGTAGTACCCGTCACACTGTGACACTGACAGCGGCCAGTAAAACTGAACTGAAAGTCCGAGAACTTCAACTGTCAGGACCGTCTGGACTCGGGCCGCCGGGCCCGACGGGACCCCCGGGGCCCGGCCGCCGTCCTTTACTGCCTAACGGTCCGTCACCGGGTTAACAGCGCGGCGCCGCCCGGCCGCCGGGGGCCGGGCCCGCGCCGGGCCGCGGCACCGGGCAAACCGGGTTTCAAGTTCCGAAATCCAAACTTGAATCCCCGGGACCGTCGAACATCCGAGTCAGGCCGACGGTGCTAGAGTACGCCGGTGACTGAGTCCGTCCGGCGAGGTTTAGTGACAACCTGACTCTGTGACTCAGAGTCACCATGGCACACGGCGGCCCGGCCATTGCGCGGCACTGAGGCGGGCCCGACATGAAATGTTCCCGGGTAGTCAGTGGTGTATGACTGATTTCGGGAAGAAATGGGGGTTGGGGTTATTGCCACCAGGGGTACAAATTAGGTGATTGATTGACTAAGGTAGGGGTGGTGTGAAGTTTACAAGGGGTAGGGGAGTGGATAATCATCGGTGGGTGCTGCATGGTGCCGTCGGAAGCGACAAGGGAATGTCGAGGAGGACGGGGGGATGAGAAGAATGAGGCAGGGAGAGAAGATTCGTAGGATAGTATGACGATAGCTAGATCATCGAGAGGACACAAACTTATGCTGTAGAGATAGAAGGCGTCCACAGATCAGACTTGAGGCTTTCCTATTCTTAACTTCCTAGTTGGTTGGTTTGTGACGATGTGTTCTGTTGCCGCGACGATGACGAGGTGGAGGAATAATGCTTTTGGCGATGAAATGTTGTTGTTTTAGCAGCCTTGACAAGAACAATGATAGCTGCGGTTTGTGCTCCGTCCCTTGTGTAGAAAACTCAAAAGAAGCAACATAGAAAGGTCACAGAGCTCGAAAAATTCACAAGGGCATTGGACCAATCTGCTAGCAAGAGAAAACGAGCTGATTCAGAAGAGAGCATGGATTGTGCAGCACAGACATACAAGAGCATCACTGATGCATCACGTCGAACTCTTGACAGAGTGACCGGTCTCACGCCAAGCTGACCCTTGAAACAGCGATGATGGATGGCTTGAGGGAGTCGAGGTATGACCAGCTCGAGTACTACCAAGTCGATCAGCTGGCAGGATATCAGGACCTCAGGTGGCTCATGCTCTGCTCGACGCGCCTCTGACATGCTCCCATAGCATGCATCAATTCACGGCAGCCCCACAGCCACCTCATGCTATCTGGCACAACGATGCACAAGGGATGATGATGCCAGTGAATCATGTGCTTGTACAACATCCTTACTTCACACATGTACATGATGCTGGAATGATACATCAGTATGCTCTCCCTCAGCATGCTAGCAACGACAGCCATGGATTCTTCATGCCGAGCACCGATCTACCCGACATGTCCCTCTACTCAACATACCCGCACGACGGGCCAGTCGCGCACACGAGTGACGTGCAGGAGAGAGATTTGTATGAGAGATGCTCGGACATCAAGAGAAGACATGGGGAGATAGCGAAAGATGTTGTTGATGGCGGGATGAGGAGGAGAAGTGGTACTTGACCTGACGAGTTGTCACTTTCACCATGTGATGTTGTGAATGCAGGATTGGTGGGATATTCACTTGAATCGAATGCGAGGATAGAGCAAATGCCGTCAAACCGTCACAGCTCACAGCCCGTTCCTACCACGCAGAGCATGTCAGAGACAAACAAGAATAAAAACGTCAGATTGGCCAAGGTTGAATTGAAGCTGTTGCTGCAGTGTGTTGACGTTGCTTTGTCCGGCAGGAGAGAGGTAAAGGAGGGCACGAGAAAGTGATTTACGCTATTGTAAGGCATGCTCCTAACATTCACAGACTTGACTTGTTCTGCAGATCATCCTGATCGTGGCCCTTGCTGCCCTGAACGCTGTGATGCACATGGGGGGGAGGTCGCCCAAGATGGACGAGCACAGCACGTCTGATGGGCGTGAGAGGCATGCGCGACATTCTTATCATCATGGCCGATACAGACGACCAGACTATGACCGTCAGCAACATCGCGACAGACAGAGACGACCCTCCTCCTACTTCTCCTCCTCCTCCTCCTCCTACTTCCCGGAGGAGGAGGAGGAGGAGGACTACTTTGAGGAAGAGCATATGGATTCGAGGAATCGTCGTAGAGCATCTTCTTCAGGGGCGTCCGACGACGATCGGACTGCGCGGCAGCCACGAGGGCTGCGATGGAAGCACGTGCTGTGGGTTTTGATCTCGTGCTGCTCAATCATTGGTAAAGAACTCTCACACTCCTTGCATCAACGTGAACAGAGCGTTTGCTGTAGTTGTTGCTGCTGTCTACCTGTTCTTGCGGAGGAGGAAGGCTCCGGTCTCGACCAGCCAAAAGACCGAAGGGAAGGTAAGATGGCGAGCATGTGTAGTGTGTGGTGATGCAGATCAGGAGGAGATGAAGGCGTCGATGCAACAAGACAACAAGATCCTCTCCTCTCATCCCATCACGACCCGTCAGACGGAGACAGCAGGAGCTTTGGGCGAGAAATCAAGTCATGCTGGCGACAAGCTATCCGATCGATGTGAGAGAAATCTAGTTCTCTCCTCCCCTCTGACTTTCCCGCCATTTGCATCCAGTCGTGTCGATCTTGAGGAACCAGGTCAACTTGAGGAAAGAGTCAAACAAAAAGTCCATCGAAAGGCAGAGATTGCAGAATAAGAAGAGGTCAAGTCTTGACATGTTCATTCCTCTTTCGTTCTCTCACATCCTGCAGGACATTCTACGCTGATATTGATGCTCGAACAGTCTTTCAGCCGGCCCTTCACTTGAAATACAAGTAGTTCTCTACCTTTTCTCATCGTATCAATCTTCTTCTCTCCTCCTCTCCCCCTCTCCTCCTCCACCCTCCTCACCGTACCTGCAGTGCCAAGTTCTACTTCCAAGACGGCTCCCTCCTCCCTCGCACTGCTGCTCCTCGTGGCTCTGCAGCTGCTGCTGCCTACCGAGACTTCATCGCGGGGTTGGAGGACATCAACCAACAAGATCCCCTTGACCCTTCGAGCACGGGGAAGGTGGAGGGGGAGAAGGCAGCAGCAGTGGATGCCAAGAAGATGCAGCGGCAGGCGACATGGGAGAGGCTGGTGAAGCTGCGCGAAAACCACAAGAGTGCGTGTCGCTTCAAGGTGAGGAGAGGAGCAGGAGCAGGAGCAGGAGCAGGAGCAGGAGCAGGAGCAGGAGCAGGAGCAGGAGCAGGAGTGGGAATGGGAGTGGGAATGGGAGTGGGAATGGGAGTGAGAGTGGGAGTGGGAGTGGGAGTGGGAGTGGGAGTGGAGATGGTGACGGCGCGGAAGGGGAGGAGCAAGAGGACCAGGATGAAATGGTGGTGGAGCAGGAGCAGGGGAAGGAGCGGGAGGATGGGGATGATGGGGTTGGGGGGGGGGGGGAAGCAGAAAGGATGGCAAGTAGCTGGAGCAGGAACAGTAACTGTCTCTGGGTAGGAGAGGCTGCGGAGGAGGAGCGCAATGTTCAGCGACGGCAAGATCAACGAATTCCTGCCCGGGTCAAGAGGAGGAGCGATCAGGAGCGGGACCAGGAAAACCCTCCTGAGCCCTCCCGAGGAAGACTTCAACATCATCTCCTTCATCTCCCTCGTTGCCTCCCTCGTCCTCTACCTCGACGTACTCAGAGGACACGTCTCCCATGTGTACGCCCTCCCCTCCGACCCGACCAGGAACGTCTCCATCCCCCTGCTCGGAGTTGTTCAGATCAAGTCCGTGCTCTGGGCCGTTCTCCTCCTCAAAGAAGCTTTCTTCCTCTCTGTACCCCTCGTTTTCCTCCTTGTCCTCCTCCTCCTCGGCATCATCCTCGCCCTCCTCTCTCCTCTCCTCGTGCTCTACCACTTTGTCCTTGCCCGCAACTCCAGGAGGCACATCAAGGCTGCGGAGGTTTTCTTTAACAGCACCATCTTCCCCCTCATGGAGGAGCAAGTTACTCTGATCTTCCACCTCGTTGTGGCCCTGTCAAACCTTTGGAGGTCTTCATTTTCTCCTCCTCCTCCTCCTCCTCCTCCTCCTCCTCTCCCTCTCCTCCTCCTCCTCTCCTCCTCCTCCTCCTTCTCCTCCTCTCCTCCTCCTCCTCCTCCTCATCCTCCTCCTTATGTCGCTGCCGCTCCTCCTCCTCCTCCCCCTCCTCCTCTCCTCTTCCGGAAACCCTTCAATCGCTTCTTTGTCTTTCTCTTCCATTCCCGTGCTCTTTCTTTTGCCTCTTCCTCATTCTCTCCTCTGTGTCTTCCTCTCCCTTCTTTCCTCCTTCTCATCGTGCCAATTTTTCATTGTCGCCTTTTCTCCTTGCTGCCTTCTGATCTTCGTTACTTCTTCCCTCCACTCCAACTCCCAACTCCTTTCATTTTACCTCATCCACATTTCTCTTTCATCATCCTCTGGCATTGCACTAATCATATCTACCCCTTCTCCCTTTCCCATTCCTCTCCTCCTCCTCCTCCTCCTCCTCCTCCTCCTCCTCCCACATGCATCGCGATGTCACTTCCTGCAGTTGGAACTGAAGCAATCTTTGCAAATTCTCTTGAGGAGGTTCAAAGGTTCTTCTACTTGAAGCACCCTGCCAATCATCTCATCTTCAATGTCTGCTCTGAAAGATCTTATGATGCCAGGTTGTTTGGAAACAGAGTGGAAAGGATTCCGACAGTGAATCATAATCCTCCCCTCCTCTCGCAGATTGTTTCCTTCCTGGAGCACACGGCATCGTATCTCGAAGATGACTCAAATCACGTGGTTGCGGTCCACTGCAGGAACGGAAAGGGGAGGACAGCTGTGATGGTTTGTGCCTGGCTGGTTTACTGCAAATTCTCTCCGAATGTCAACGATGCCATGGAGTGGTTCGCATGGAAACGACTTAGGAAATCCAGCCTTCTTCATGGAGATGAGCAGATCTTAACCCCAAGTCAGCTCCGTTACCTCAACTATGTGCAAGTCATGTGTGAGAACGGCCAGTTCGAAACCCGAGGTCTTACAATAGAGTCAATCTCCATCTC